TGTCTCTGTTGCAATACTTAGCGTTGTTCTTGTCTGCTCACTTGCACAGTCTACTTGATGTGAGTGTAGTAGACCATGACAGGGCCATAAAAATAAATGTTAGTGATAATAACATTGTCTCCCTACATCGATATCTTCACAATACTGCAAATAAACATAATTTAGAAACACTGTGTGCACCAAAAAGGCCATATGAGCATTGGAATGTCAGTTTGGTTTACAGCTTTCTTGAACACACATAATTGTGTCGTCTACCTTTTCTGCAATCTGCTGCTTGCCATTTCCCTTGCCTCTGTACCAAAACACAATTCTTTCCCTTCCTTGAAAGACGAGACGAGACTGTTCTCCAGTTTGTGTAAGTGACTGGTTCTCCTCCATTCCACTCCCAATGGCCAGGATTTTCTTGGTCATTCAAGCCTAATACAATTAAAAAAAAGGGTCAAGTCAGTCAGCCAGTGCAAAAGGAAACATGTTCTCATATTCCTCTATTGATTAATATACACAAGTTTGCGCTGAGGGAAAACACCACATCTAGAAGACTACAGAGAAAGCACGCATATGAACATTTGTCTGGCAACCAACACCATCTTGGAAAAATTGTAACACTTTTCCTTCATTACCTATCTAACCACAATATTCTTCCCATACCTACTGTATGTCTGTAACCCATATTTTTCTTGTAATCCAATCAAACGGTCATAAAGGAAAGTCAAACCAATGTGTAGTGATAAGCAGGCCCATAAAGCAGGAAAAGGGATATCAGAACTTTAGACCAAACCACAAAAAGGCTCACAGATGACTTCCAGCAAATCTACAAGAAACGAGTAAAATTCATATGCACAAACTTGTCATAATCTCTGAAGAATAAGCAATGGGCACAGCATTTTTATTGCACACTAAACAGGCTGTCACATGAAACACAAATTCAACTTTGACAATGTAAGTGAGATGAAATAACTAGATTTTAACTGGGGGAACTCCCAGCAGTTGTCAAGAACCTGAAAAAAATGTAAGGCAGCAGGCCAGGATGAACCCTCTTCAAAGCAAGAGGCTAAGAAAACTTGAATATGTGTTATGATTTTTTTTAACTGATGTGGGAGGCAGAATCTGCCTCAGAAAATAGGAAACATGAATCATAACATTACCTAAGAAAAGGGATCTAGGCAACTATAACAATTGACTAAGTGTCATGTCATTGTCAGTCATAGGGATACTCTTTGCAGATTCTCTTCAGAGTAATTATACAAATGTCAAAGATAACTGATTGTGGGGTGCAGGGGACCAAAACAAACAGGCTGGTTTTTACTGCATTCATTCTTGCATTGATTATATTTTTGTGCTATGCAATGTTGCTGAATGAAGTAACAAATAGCAGCTATCGGTCTTAAAGACTTTCACAATATAGACAAACTCCATGGCAGACATTAGAAATCTATGGATTCCCTTGTAAAATTATCTGGATCTTCCAAAAACTTTATCAAGATGCCAAATGTGTCAATGACATTTAACCAATAATTAACCAACTGGTTTTTAATTTTGACAAGCATCTGCTGTCAAAATTCCACCTTGTAGTCAGGGACACCTTGGAGGGGGACAGGGTTGCCGGTTCAGGCACCATCACAACCAGCTAGCTCATTTCAAAATGCAGGAAGGTGGCAGGCTACTTCCACTGGAGCATCAAAGTGGGCAAGATGCTGCAGGACAAACAGGCTAGCTCAGCATCCCGCAGCACAAAATCATGCAGGATGTCGAGACTCGGTGGAACTCCACATACATGATGCTCAAAAGGCTGATCAAGCAACAGGCCATCCATGAGATAGCCTTGCTCAGGGAGATTGGGATCAGCAGCCCCCTTAAAGCTGAGTAGGATACCTTCTCCCAGATCTTGGTGAACCTCAAGCCATTCATTGAGGCTACCAAGAGCCTCAGTGCCGCTGATGCCCTCCTTAGCCAGCTGATCCCCATAGTGAGGAAGCTTCAGAACCCAATGGAGAAGTTCCATGGGATCAATGTTCCTGGTTGGGGCAAGCTGCTTTCACCAGAGGTGCAGGCACTGGTGAAGCAGCTGAAGGAGGGCATCAAGAAACGGCTGGATCCATTGCGGCCTAGTATAGTCCATGTGCTGGCGGGCATGTGCAACCCAAAGGTGAAGGGGAGCATCTGTGGCAGCAAAACCCTGGATCACTGGATAGAGGTGCTGGTGAACTGAGTCAGGGAGGCTGAAGGGCACAGCCAGGGAGACATGGAAGAGGGGGGATCCACTTTCCCGTACCAGTAGTCAACCCACCAGCCAGTCTCCTCCGCTACAGGTGCTGCCACTGTCGGCCAAGGGCATGGCTTCTACCTTAG